GAGATTACCTGGATCCGATAGATCTGGCGTAAGCAAGGGGAAGAGTCCTGGGAGACCACCAATGATGCCAAGTCCAACTAATCAACAATCGGCAAGCCAAGCGAATTTAGCTGCTACGTCGATGGCGTCCAGTTTAAATTTCCCTTCGTTAGGCAATTTGAATAATTCTCTTTTATCTGGACTTTCACTCGGCAATTTCGATCCGAAAAATAATCCACTTCTAATGCCATTTGGTGGCCTACCGAACCTAGGAGCACTAAGCGGTCTTAGCAATCTTAGTAATCTCAGCAATATGAGTTTAACAAATTCATTATTCGCAAATCTTGCTGGACTTGGTTTGCCATCGTTAGCGGGTATGGAAGCTGCTTTAAGTGCAACTGCAACTAGTACGGCCGACACAAATCCAGCGGTCAGTTCGGTTAGCAGCAAAAATACTAGTTCAAGCAGTATTAGTAATACCGGTAAACCACGAAACAAATTAGAACCCCCTACGAGCAAAACGTCCGTGCCATCGACATCGTCGGCATCGTCGGCGTTACCAACGACGACGCCATTCCCCTTCTTTTTTCCAAATCCTAGTCTTCTGTACACGCCATTAGGTTTAGGTGGTTTAAATCCGTTCTCGATGCAACCTGGTGGCGTATCGTCGGCCTATGAAAGTCTGGCACAGTGCGGCCTTTTAAATCCGCCAACGTCAAGTGCCTCGACTGTACGGAAGCCTGCTTCGTCAGCGAGCAGTTCGAGACAACGAGATACAATTGTGGATTCGTCGAGCAAACGAAAAGATTCCGAGAAAAAGCCTAGATATCCTGTCGATCCAGGTATAACGTTACAACAATATACGGATATGGCATTACATACGGAGGATAGGCGTCGTATGGAACACGAAAAGAGAGAGGCTATCGAGCAACAAAACGATATTACCGAGGTTAATGAAAGAAGGCTCGAAAGGAAAAGTAAGGAACAAGAGATGAAAGAGGCTTTGGAACATTTGAGTCGGACAAGTGCAGAATTATTAACGAGAAATCTCGAGGACGTGCAACAGCGATGCAACGAAAAGAGAAGTCATAGCATAGACCGTAATCAGAACTCGGATCAGCAACAAACGTCGTCGACTCCGTTAGAGGTAACATTAGAGCCGGTAGCTAAGAAAATGCGATCCGAGATTGAGACGATCGCGAAGCCTACGACAGTGACAAATAACGATACGCCATCATCGGTCGACGTGGAACCGGTTCCTAGATCAACAAGTACGACTAAGCAGCTTCTTCAAGAAGATACGGCAGGTACGGTCTCTTCAGAGGTGCCGTTGAACGTTAGCAAAAAAGAATCAACGAGCGAAGCTGCTCCAACGACGATTACAACAAATCTACCATCTCCTTCGCAGCAAGCTTCGACTACGAAAGCAGACTTAAGTAATAAATCTCATATAACGGAAAGCGAGGAAGATGGTAAAGGTGGCGCTAAGGGTAAAAAATCACGAAGTGGTAAGAGATTAAGTATTGAACCTCCGCCCGAACGAAAGAATCTAAGATCCAGTGCCGGTAGACAAGCAAGAGCGGCGGCCGAACGACAAGCGAGATTGGAATGTGAATTACAATCTGAACAACACCAACAACAGCAACAGCAGCAACAACAGCAGCAACAGCAGCAGCAGCAGCAGCACCACCATCAATCGCAGGAACAATCGCAGCAACAAACCCAACAACAACAGGATAGTCATGTTGGCAACGAATGAACTCGTGTGATCGATGTTAATGCGAATAATAGTGATTGCAATGCTAACAAATAACCGAGGCCAATCGAGTTCGTCGTAATTTATATCTCGATTCGTAATTAATTCGGTTATTTCTAGCATTTAGCTAATAACCATTTACCGTGGATCGCTAAGTTGGTGGAACTGTATAATGTGTGCATCGTTTGGTAATTTTTTTTTCCTTTTTTTTTTACTTTTTTCTTTTTCTTTTCCTTTTTTTTTTTTTTAAACGAACACAAGTGCGTTAAAGGACTACAAAACGTACAAAAGTTGAATCTTTACGGGTAGCCTTTCATCGTCATTGTGAAAATGAAAAAAAAAAGACATATACGATTGAGAAGTGGCATCTTATATAGGTGGGCTAAAAAAAAAAGTACAGAGGTTGTTGTTGGTGTGTGTGTGTGTGTGTGTGTGAATGTACGTTAAGATACTTTGAAGTCGGGCGATAGTATTTTATCACTCGATACTTTGTGTGGTGATTAACTTTTAATTACGTAACATTACAATTTAAAGGAAACAAAATAAATAAATAAATAAATAAATAAATAAAAAAATAAATAAACAAGTATAATTTTGTTAAATTTAATATCTTTTACGATCTTATCAGTTTTGACCACAGGGACTGTTTTATATAACTGCTATCACTTTATTGTGCACTAGCCCCCCCCATTGTGCGTGTTACAATGTCGGGCATAACACGATATAATAATATAACCATAACGTAGGAAAGTAATTATTAATTTAATAAATAAATAAATAAATAAATAAATAAATAAACAAACAAAAAGGAAAAAAAGAAAATGTAAATATTATATACATTATGCCTATAGCTCATAAGCAACTGTGTACTTGGAGAAGTGTATATAATAACGCAATGTACTTTTAATTACATTAGATGAAATAATAAACAGCTTCTTTTGTTGTTTGCAAATGCCAAGCGCCAAGACTTCCATTTTATTTAGTGTATTGACCTCGATCAGAAGAAATTGGTAGCTTGCAGCATCCATGTTCGATATTCGATTTTTGTAACAACCGTCACAGCATCATGACACGTAAACGATATTTCGTTCTTTATTATATTAACTACATTGTCATATATATGAAAGGAAAAAAAAAAAAATTATAAGTTCAGTATTGAAAATGTTAACATTATTACTCTGTATTTTGTATCGTGTACATTGTATCAAAGTATATATGCAATAATTAATTTAAAGTCATTATTCGTATTGATGTTTTTTACGTCTTTTATCCCACTTTTTATGTAGGTTGCGACACAATCCGCAAATACGGTTTTCCGGATGGAAGAACAACAGTCTTAACTGACGCAAATAATGTTTTTGCTTCGTTTTCTGTGACAAATGGTTGAATCATAACTTCTTCTCCTTTCTAAACGTGAAGAGAGAGAAAAAAAAATCTAAAATTATCTTGTCAAATATAAAATGGTCATATATAATTTATAAAATTTACCTTCCAATCTACAGGAGTTGCAACTTTGAATTTTTCAGTCAAGAGAAGTGATTCGATGACACGTAATATTTCACTGGATAAAACAAAAAGGAAGGATAATAGATTGATGTTAAAATTAAGATTACATATGTAGAGAAATGAATTTCTTTGAATAACTTACTCAAAATTTCTACCAGTGGTCGCAGGATATAAAATCGATAGACGCATTTTCTTGGCCGGATCTATAATGAATACTGCTCGTGCTGACAAAGGTAAACCTTGGCTATCTATCTCTGCAGGATCTAACATACCAAGCATTGTTGCTAATTTACGAGATTCATCTTCTATTATCGGATATGGAAATTCCTCATCGGTTATTTCTCCATAACTCTTAATGTCCTGTATTATGAAATTGTATAATTATTAATATATATTCCACATACAATATACGTTTGAAAGAAATGTGAATAATGTTACATATAGCGTGTGATGGAAAGAGCTTATTTCTTCAAGTATAAAATATTCGATATAATATTCTTATAATGATATTATTGTACGTAGAATTTTTTTTTCTTTTTTTTTTTTTAAGGCAATACAAAATCTATTTTAAATATATACCTCGATCCATTTGCGATGAGAATCCACAGAATTACATGACAATGCAATAACTTTTACGCCCATTCTTTGAAATTCAGGCATTAATTTTACAACTCGTGCCAATTCTGTGGTACAAACAGGCGTGAAATCGCTTGGATGTGAGAACAATATAGCCCAGCTAAAAAAAAAAAGAGAATTTTATTTGTTATTAAAAATTGATTTTGAACATCGATTATGATCCACAAATTAAAAGTCATATAAAACAATTTTGTTTATTGTGACTTATAGGTTAGATAAACAAAATAAAATGTCAACTTACGAATCTCCAAGCCAATCGTAAAAATTAATTGTACCATTTTGCGTATCGGCTGTAAAATTAGGGAATGTTTCGCCTAACAAAACCATTATTAATAATTAACGCGTCGTTGGTTAACAAAATCGATATGTAACGAAAATTTTTAGTTTTTCTTTTCCTTTACTTTTTTCTTTTTCTTTTTTCCTTTTTTTTTTTTTCTTCTTTTCCACCCGAGTAAACTTCCCTCACTATATATTATCTATCGAATAATAAAGTTCACGCCGATAATGAATTTTGTTAATTTATATATATATATAAAAAAACAAAAAAGGAAAAAAAATCGACTCAATCGATATTTCGTAATTGCAAAATGAATTTTTAAAGTGAAGAGGAAAAGAAGAAAACAAAAAACAATGATAATAACAACGTGAAGTTCATCACGTGTTATAAACAAACGTCTAATTCGCGCTGTTTTCTATGGGAAGATGTCCAATGACGTCAAAGAAAAAAAAAAAAGAAAAAAGAAAAAATATGCCTTGAAATTGTGAATGATGAAAAAGAAAAAAGAGAGGAAAAAAAAAGAAAAAGAAGAAAGGATTGGTAAAAGTCACGAGAATATAATTTTCAGAACGTTTCGTAAATTCTGATGCTTTTTAGAACGTGTAATTAAAATACACAAGTATTTGAAAGAATGAAAGAGAGATATATATATGTAATAGGGAAAGAAAGAGAGAGAGAGAATGAGAGAGGGAGAAAGAGAAAGAGAGAGAGAGAGAGAGAGAGAGAGAGATGGACGTTGATTGGATATACACGTACATTCGCGAAAATGTTCAGCCAATAAGAATGCAAATATTTGTGAGAGAGTTTACAGTGAAATGGATCTCGCGCGTGGAACGTTGTTGCCTTATCCTTGGCAGCACGGTTTCTCTCTCCTCAGTATGCCATCCCCACCCACTTACAGCTGATGCGATCAGCGTACGTTACAATCATTGTTAATATTTTCTAAGAAAGAAACGACGGGGAAGGACCTGTTATATATATATATGTCTAAAGAATATATCGTCCGATGTAATATCGTTTTATGGATACCGATTAATACGATTAAAATAATAATATAGTGTTAATTGTAATTGTAACAGTGATTGTGACGTGGAAGTGAAAACTGTTTTTCTCAGGCTGTATACCACATAGAACACAAACGGGAAATCGAGAACACAAACGGGAGAAGGAAATTTCTTATTGAAATAAAAAGTTCATTTTTCTCGTTTATCTCTTATTCTCTCTCTCTCTTTCTCTCTTTCTTTCTTTCTTTGTCACTCATTATTTCTTTCTTTCTTTCCTTCCCTCTCTCTCGCTCTCTCTCTCTCTCTCTTTCTCTCTCTGCAAAAATAATATATATATATATATATATGAATATATATATATATATTATTCAATAAATAAAAGTGACTGAGAGATTGGATTGACATCCTGTAAGAGTACGCGGGCATGGTATATTTGACGGGTCTTTGGGGTATGGGAGAGACTGAATCACAGTGCCATAGCACCAGCGCTTCGCCAGTCTCTTCCTCGTTTCAGGACCATGACGAAGAAGTTGCGTTGCATCCTCTCAAGAATCAGGTATACAATCATTTTTCTTTTTTTTTTTGTTTTATTGTATTATTTGTTTTTATTTTTATTTTTCTTTTTTCTTTTCCCTTTTATTTCTTTTTCTCTTCTTATTTACTTCGTCATTCCCATTTCTCTTTCTTTTTCTTTCTTTTTCTTTCTTTCCTTCTTTCTTTCTTTTTCTTTCTTTCTTTCTTTCTTTCTTTCTTTCTTTCTTTCTTTCTTTCTTACAAGGCCTATACGTAGATGTCATAGAGTTTGTTTGAATATATATGAGATGTTTGTATTTACTCCGCGAGATTACATTATCGTCTAACTTAATCAAAATAAACATCTCTTACTTGTACCATCTGAGACTGCTGGTCTTAAATCAAAGTGTTATTTATTCTTTTCTTTATTCTGTTTTTTCTTGCTTTTGTTTTGTTTGGTTTTTTTTTCTTTTTCTTTTTTTTTTTTTTTTTTTTTTTCCTGACAAAGAAGTTAAATATATTTTTTATGTAATAAATGAAGAAATGTATATATATGTATGATCTTTTTATCTTTTTCGTTTTTTCTACTTTATTTTACTATTTATTTATTTATTATTATTTTTTTTTAATTCATAATACCGACATTAAAATTAGTAGAATATATCGAAATGTGAAAAAAAAAGGGAGAAAATAGAAATAGTTCATCTAGAATAATATTTTTATTTATAAATAATTTTTTTTCTTCTTCTTTAATTTGCACCATTTTCATTTATTTATTTATTTATTTTTTTTTTTTTTTGAATGAAATGACAGTTTTATTAAATTTTGCTAACAATTTGTTGATCGTTTGATAGAAAATTATACAAATTTTTTGAAATAAATTCTTTTGAAAGAGAAATTTTCTGCGATCAATTTTTTTTTTTTTTATTTTATAAATCAATTATCGATTTTATTACGAGATCAACGAAAAATTATGTGTTTATATATATATATATATATATATATATATATATATGTATATATCTTACAATATATTATGTATATGTTTAGGTTGGTGGACATACAAGGCTGCTGCTTCTCAACCAGAGTACAATTTGTAAACCATTGAACTGCAGAGAACTTGACTTCTATCAAAACATTCCACAAGATATACAAATGTTTGTCCCAAAATTCAAAGGTAAGATAACACTTATATTATTGTATGATGGCATCATATTAATTATTTTCATAAATACCAACCATATCATATATATCTCTATATATTTCTATCTATTTGAATTTGTTTATTATTATTACAAATTACTAACATATTATTATAAATATTACTGAGGCATGAGCGTATGAACACATATAAATATAGTTTTTTTTCTCATTTATCTTCTTCTTTTAAATTATATATTATAATATATATATATATATATATATATATATATATATATATATATATATATATATATACCTTGTTTGTTATATTTCAGTTTTATTTTCATTAATTATCCATTAATTACAAAACCAAATATTTATTACTTATATCGAATAATTAATACTATTGACTAAATGATCAAATGGGTTTACACGTGAAATTATATTTATATAATACCAAACAAATGGATTAATTAAATAGTAAAATAATTATTAAAAGATCATTATTAAAAAATATAGAAAAAAATATGAAACTACTTAAAATAAGATAAAATAAAGAGAAAGTCCCCATGATAAATGTTTAAAAAAAATCAATGCTCAAGAAGTTTAAAGATTGAATCTAATTTTTATTTTATCACAAAATTGTGGAATGTTTGCTCGTTTATATTTTTCATTGGTCTTTTTTT